TCGTTCTATCTAGGTGTGAGAACCCTGACAGTATCCCTACCCACGTACAACCATGACCCTCACAATTAATAATACTGTCATACCACATAGGCCATCGCGTGTTGTCATCATCCGGGTCCCCTTGCTGCATACAGCATGGCAGGTAAGCGAAAACAGACTACTTCTGACGCCTCCCTTATTTCTATTTTAGGTACTTTTTCTCCCCCCTCGCCTTCTCATTATTATTAACTCTCCTTGTAGGCCGAGCACATACGACTGATGACTCCGTTCTCCATGGATTGGTTTTGCAGGCAACATCTGCGTGTCATCCGGCGCCGACACCCTTAGGCATCTCGATATCGATCTTAATGCCTCGACGCCCAGTCTATCTGGTCGCCTTTAGTGTTTGAAGCAAGTAAGACAACAATTTGCTCCTGCCCTCACACCAGACTCGCTTGACCTTGATGTGTGCTGTGTCTCAGAAACAAGAATTCAAGATTTGAGCACAATGATTGAGCTTACTGCCCCACCACTTTCCCCTCGCTCTCGGCTACGCACGTCTGGTGACCCAGAGGCTGCTTCTGCTGGATGTACAGATGTTGGTATCTTCGTAAATCTCTGGTCTGAATGATGTTTGCTTGATTGGCTACCCGGTGATAGTCGCCTGTGTGCGATTCGTATGGCGACGTCCGTGAAGGAGTTCCACAAGCGAGAAGTCCATTGATGTCTGTCTGTCGTATCTACTTACGCCCCAACTAACTATAGTTCTGACATCCTCAAAGAATTTTTAAGACGCCCTGAACGCGCTGTTGCGGCACGTGAAGGCTCAGATATCGTTGTGGTTGCTTGAGAAATGACTTCAGAAGTGGGCAGGCTTAGCGCGTCTGAGATTCAATTTGGTGGTCGACATCGATTAGACTCGGTACGTACAGGCAGTGGCGGACGATTTCTTCAGCTGTATGCTAACCGCAGGCTGTTTTTATGCAGTACTAACCTTCGAAGTAGCCGGAGTCGTCTGGCCGCATGCTGTCCTCCAGCGGCGTGCAGATTACGAACTCAAATCAGTCAAATGACCATCAGTTACCGATGGCATGGATCAATAACTGGCTGCCGCTGGCTTTGTAACACATTTGTGGATTCCGACCACGCCCTCGTCCGGAGTCGCTTCTCCCTTCGTTTTCCAGGGCCGCGTACGGTGCGGAAAAATCGGTTAGCAACTGAGAGACTGACAGATCCGGATGTTAGACGAATTCGCCGGAATTATATTCTAGAATCTTTTCCAATCGCCCCACCATCATGCGTGAATTCAAAAAGCTGTAGCACTCTTCTGGTGCCTAGCTGCCATGCCAGGTTGCTCAAGTCTAGACAGGGGAAGTCGAGAGGCGGAGGTGGGATTCGAACCACGAACCTTCCGGTCGGTAAATTTGCGCTTTTACTACTTGGGCCATCTCGCCCCCATATGTGAATTCATACTGGGACGATGTCGCCCCCTCTTTGCACAGTGCTTGGAGTTTTACCTGTGGCACGGCGCTAATAGGCCCACTCAAGCACTGGATATCAGTCAGAACAGCGGCACTGCTTAAATCTGGAATTATCCCAGGCGATCCCGAACATAACCCGACCCGACGAATCATCATATTTGCGAGCCCATCGTGTAGTCTGGTGGACGCGGAAAGCCGAAATGTCCGAAGGTTATTTCAGTTGATCCGTGAGGCCGGCCCCTGGAAACCACTCATGAGCGAAGCCATCGAGAATCAGAATGGAGCGACCACCTTGAATAAAAAGCCCTCAACCATTGGGTCGAATACTTTGAATATCAGTTATCATGGCCACCAGCTGTCACTCATCTGGAGCCCACAACCGACGTAGAACCCCGAACGGTGAACGTGGAACTCCCTACGGCCTCGGAGATTTATAACTGCATATGTTCTCTCAAGTGCCATCTAGCTTCTGGTGCGGATAACCTGCCATCATTGTTCAAAACGGTCCTCAGCCATCGCTAGCGTGTTCTGTTTAGCTGCATTTGGGAAAAGAAGACTATCCAGAACAACTGGGGAGAGTCGTTGATAGTACATTTCCAAGAAAAGGTACTCGTAGTTTGTGCGGTAATCACAGGGGGTCAGCTTGACCCCGGTCGTAATGAGACCGTTGGCGTCACTTGTGCTTCGTCACTTTATGGTGGCTTGTAAAACACTATTCAATAACAGCAATCGGGATTCTGGCCTGGTAGGCACGTTGACAAAATCTCCACGCTTCATGAACTGGTAGAACAACGTTATACGTAAAAGTGACGCACCTCTAAAAGCTCCCCTACACAAAGCGACCGCTAATCGATGTGAGTGGCGTTGTTTCCCGTTTCTATCTGAATTTCTTGAGTGAGTGTGTGGGGGTGTAGGCACCTCGGATTGCCTATGATAGACTAGCATTAAGTCCCTTCCCCATCCAGACTTATTATTTTCACAAGGCTTGGTTGTATGGCAGCGAAGCATCAGTTTTGAGCACCGACGTCATGCTGTCGATGATGATGATGATGGACTGCCATTGTTTTCGAGCAGTTGCGGAGAGACTAGGACTCATTGCGGTGAGAGGGTCTGTGGAACTCAGCAACCGTTGAGCTGTATCAGATGTCAGCGCAGCATCATTAGTGTTTCTGCTGCCTAAGTTGATCAATGACTGACGTCCCCATAGGCGTAGTCTCGATGGTTGAAACGCGCATGCTATTCTGCTCCTTCAAAGCTAGACGACTTTGGTACTCTCACACCAAACCCCATTCCTTGCGGTTGGGTCTTTGAACCAGATGCCTTGGTTCAAGCCCTCCGCCGTTACATTACTTATTTGGCATTTCTCTGGGTTCCAGCTCAATCAGATTCCCTTTAAGATCGTTCATATTCGTTTATATTTGCTGCATCCTGTCCGCTACTCAAACATTGCTGCCCTATCTTTGTCACAGCCTTTAAGGTGCAGAGTTTCAAGTAACTTGGCCAATAAGCTGTTCATGTTCGCAATTTAGTTACTTCATCCGAAGCCTGAGTAGGGGATTCAGATACAACAACTGGGCATGTGGCAACTTCGCCTTCTGTACACTATCAGCTAAGAAATTCTGGAAGGGACCCCAGCAACTAGTCTTTGCTCCGTTCGCTGGCTGGTCCAGCTAGGATCAATGCATCTCATTGCGGTAGTACTTGTGTGTTATATCAGCACACTCCTCCTACATACGGTAGCACTCAGGCTGAAAAAGGCGGATTCTGTCGAGATTTGTCACAGTTGTTTGGGTCAGTGTGGAGTACATATACCGCGAATCTGACAGGTGATTTGAATGTATAGGTCGCCTGTCTAAGTCCGAGGAAGGCTCTCTTGGTGGTCGGCTCATCATTGATCCTCATCGCACAGCTAATAGAGAGCAAATTCTTCAGTCGTATGCTGAAAATCATTCGCCTCTAGCCAGCACATACTTTTGAAACCGTCTTCCCGAGGTTGCCAACGCACCTTAATGAACACTGGATCTCTTCACGCTCAGCAGGTGTCACTGAAGCCAGGAAAACTGTACCAACGAACGACTATAATGGTGCGCGCAGATTCATAAAACGCCAAATAATGGGGAACTCAAGGATTGGTAGATTGCGTTATTGGATCGTAAAAGCCGAAGAAATAAAAACTTTTGCAACGGGGAACAATCGGATGTGGTTCAAGTTAGCCCGATCAACTGGTCCCAGGATGGCGGATGTTAGTAAACCCATCTCTCTACAGAAACGACATCATAAACAGTGGATTGGACTTTCAGGACAGATCAACTGGCTCCCAATATCTCTGGAGCGACTAACTGAACCTGAGTGGAACGTATGTACCGGTCGGCCGTTTTCTTTGGGAGTTCAGCATGCAATTTCATTTCTCCCTCGCAACGGAGCACCTGGCCTTGGTGGCTTGCATCCTTCTCTCCAGAGAAAGCGTCTAGTCTCTCTCTGCTCCTAGAGCCACGACTTTGTTTCAAAATATCTACCTTGAGGGAAGAGTGCCGACAGAATGGAGCCCCTCGACGGTAATTCCTGTATTCAAAAAACGGTGCGAAAACATCGTGCGAAACCCATTCGGGCATCAGTTTAGGAGCCACAGCTTCCAAGACACTCCCTTATGTTATCCTATACTTGAGATTCAGATTCGCGGGCATCAAGCCGGGTTTCGCACTGAGCAGGATTGTGTGTTCTTCACTTTGTGACAAATGTTGAAACTATGAGCCTCCTTCCAACGACCGACAGTGATAGTTTTTTTTTCGATTTCAGACCTGCTTTCACTCTCTTGATCATCATGAAATGGTAGTGTCTGGCGAACAGAGGTATTCTTTCTGATTTCTTTTCTCTTATAAAAGCTCTTTATGTTTCTTTTAGTAGCGAGCACGCGCCAGCAGCAAATGCGTTACTGAGTTCACCAAATCTAGTGGGGCCATTCAAGGGTGTCCTTTGTAGCTTTTTCTCTTTAAGTTTGTAATCGATATGTCTATGGAGTCTTTTTATCTGCCTCCAACACCCCCGGGACCGGAGTGAACCGTACGCTCAAGGCCATTGAGTACACCGATGAAATTGCCCTTCTTAAATTATGCTCCCTAGAAGTACAACTTTTTATAAACAAAACAATGCTGCTGCAAGATTGGGTGATATCAAATTCAAACTTCATGCTTTCAGACGAATTGGTCGACGTGACGGATAACTTCGTCTCTCCGGGCGGCTGCATAGGTTCCGGCAGTCATGGGATGTCAGCCCATGACTTGTCAACGTAGCATGAAGACCTTACTAGTCAAGTCAGCCGCGTTGGTAACTGCCATTTCCCGGGATGGGAAATACGGGACGAGACGAATCAGTGGTTTGTGACCCTGGCAGATATGACTGTCACGCGGCCAACGGCGGCCTTGTTTCAAGGCTATTGCCTTTACTGTGTAGCTCTCAACCCCTGCCTATTGGACAAACAGAATAATTCGAGGTCAATGAACCTACAACACGTAATTTTAGTACTCTCTTGCACTGGTCGAAATGCTGCTCATTCTCTGGGGTCTTCTTATGAACAACCCGGGCGAAAGATTATCTACATGTAACTACCCTGTTGTCGAACAAGATCAATCTGGTGCTGTCAGTGACCGCTTTCAGGAAGACGAGAGGACAGCACTGCAAGCTCTGCGGACCATGGTAGTCCTTGTAAAAATGCAGATTCATCTTGTCAATGCCGCATTGGGCTGTCAAATGGCGACTGGTCACCGGTGAGACCAATAGCTTTCTCCATTCGTTCCAACACCAGTCCAACCAACCGTTGAATGCCTTCCACTAGAGTAACTCCATTGTTATTTCATCATTCTCCACCACTGAACCTGTAATTCGTCGTGTTGTGAAGAAATTCTGGTCCCCTGTTTTGCACGCCATTTAGAGTCGAGTCAATGGGTAAGTCCACTGATGTCACAACCGGTCTACACTACTAAAGTTGACGCATCAGTCTCACCACCGTACCTTGTGCTAAGCATAACCGTTCGCATTTAGAATGGATGTGCTTACATGCGTACATGCGTGCTTAAATTATTCGAACCCAACCTTTTCGTCTCGACTTCCCCCGTCTAGACTTGGGCAACCGTGCAGTATCCCAGCCTTCGTGTCTCCTTTGGGTGGCATGGCAGCTGGGCATCGAAAGGGCGTTACAGCTGGACGATTTAGCAAGACTTAGTTCAACGTCTGTCGCACCAAATCGAGCTCTGCTTTGGAATCAGGATAGCTTTTGGAAGCTGTAGTTGTCGATTGTAACGTATGGTAAGACAGCTTTCTGGTGTCAAATTCAGACCAAACGCTGACAGTAAGAGACATTTTTTCTCGTATGTCGGTGTTGCCCCCCATTCTCTGCAATGCACCCAGCCGGCTTTTTCTTACCCGCTGTTGATGATCATCATTGGCAATGATACCAGCTTTTGGATACTTGTGCTATACGATTGAACAACCAGTGATATTCAAAAACATCGTTCAGCTGTAACACCCTTTTGGTGCCTAACTGCCATGCCACTCGAAGGAAGCACGAGGGCTGGGCTACTTCCAGGTTGTCCAAGCTTAGACAGAAGTCGTGAGGCAGAGGTCGGGTTCGAACCACGGACCTTCCGGTCAGTAAATTCGCCTTCTAACCACTGAGCGATCTCGCCCGATATTCAAAGATGGTCTGCAATCCTCTCGCCTAACAAAGTTTTTTGTCAGCATATGATGCCATCAGGGAACTTATTGATATTGTTGAGAATAGTTGCAATACAGGGGTTGATGTTCGAGAAAACGACACTAACTCTATAGCCTGAAGGTTTTAAAAAGTTGGAACTTCGATCGAGTTAGTCACAGCTTCCATTTGATTGATGGAAGAGATCATTCAGACCGGAAGGAAGGATGGCTTTGGAGTCACCTAAGATCAAAAGAATACTATCAACTCTGGTTTCGGATTTGAAAAATAGCTCACCACAAATCCTCGTTGGTTCTGACGTGTCCACCGGTCCATACAGTTATTTCCGCGTGAGGCCTCCAAACTGCGGCTGTTCCTCGTTAGAGGCTATACATTGTTTCCTTTTTTGTAAACCTTCCTTTTGAATTTAGCGGCTTTCCTGCGTGCAGTTAGCATAGTGGTCAAGATAAGAAGGGGATGTCTATAATTGTCTTTTTTAGCTGAATGGCTGCAACACTGGCTGCTGGTGACTACTCTCCTTCAGATGGAGACCAGGTCGACAACGATGTTGAGGTCGATGACTACCAAACACAGACAATCATCGAGGAGTTCGTACAATGCAAACTTCGCTCAAAAGGTAGAATGTTACATCGTCACAGTGTTCCGGCCGATATGGAGTAAGTGGTTCTTTTGATATGCTAATGCTGAGTTTTTCTCAATCTGAAGAACTCAGGTCCTGGTCAGCCGATTGCTTGACATCTCAAATGAATTGGAAGAGCGGTATGGTGATCAGCTCAATCGAGATGCTGAACGCTGGATAAAGGCTGCCACCTTTGAAAAGTTTGTCCAGATTGCCAAAGGGTAAGTTGGTGGACTAGTATTTCCTTGTAAAACTACTGAACCATATCCCGATTAATTACTTAAATGTTAGGCTTTGGTGATTCCTCCTACACATTGCAGTGTTTTTCGCTCCTCAACGCGTGAGCACTTTGACTGAAGCAGAATTTCCCGTCTGTTATTAGTACGCATTACCACCGGATGCTCTTGTTTTCAGAATTGAATATATGCCCCAGAGGAGGCATATATTCAGAGCCAACCTAGTTCCACACAAGCGTTACCCTGGGTACCGGTGTGTTCGGTTAATCCAGAACAGAAACACCATAGCCTTTACTAGTGATCCGATTTTTCAGTCGACTCAAACTTATATATCACTGGTATATTTGACCCACGACCACACGATATCAGCAGGCTCTCAACCGTAGCTTAGCCTGGGATAAGTATATAGAAGTGTTTGTTGCAACGTATACGGTTTCAACGCTGAGCGAAGGCAGTACAGTCGTAAGGTGGGGTTTTGTGATCTGAGCTAATTCGATATTTACCAGATTCCTGATGAAAGCATATACCGAACACTGTCCTCCAGTTAAAATTACTTTCGCTCACATTCATTAGAGTGCGGCTCAGTGACATGTCGATTGCTCACCTATAGCAATCCATATGACGGTAGCTGATTGCTACTGTACTGGTTCAGCTAGTTAGTCCACAGGCATACATTCGTTCGGATACTAGTGAGTGCTCGAAGTGTCTGGTCGAAACAAAACCCTGGTAGACAGACCGGTGGATTTTCGCTGGCCAACTTTCCGATTATTCGCTCCCTTCATGGGAATAGAACTTGGAACCCCCAGAAGTCAGTCAAGGAACAGATGTCAGAAAATAAGGATTTAACCCAATCTCAACTTGCTTTTTAATGAATGATTGATCTCCGGTCATCTGATATCTTTTTCCCTAGATGAAGCTCTAAATGCACGTCTTTATTGTTGTACTGTTACAAATTCACCTCTCCAGTTCCTCTAAAACCAGGCAATAATCGTGAGTCACGTTATTCCGAGTTTACGAATGGTGAGAAGCATGTTATACCACGGCTTAAAACGAGTCATCTGGACTCAGAAAAGCTGTTAGCTCCTCTTAAACACTTTCAGGGGGGAGATACTCAAAATTTAGTGCCCTACTCTGTTCCCAATAATTGGTTCCATGAACTCCTCATTTATTTGATTTTCCCTAATCCTAGTTGATGTATGTATGATTGCGTTTCCGAATGCGAAACTTTCGTGTGCTCGGTACGGGTATTTTCCGGATGAACTAACCGGCTAAACAGGATTCGTTGGAACCGTCGTGCAAAAGGCAGTTGGTTCTTCGTGCTTTCTTATGGTCCAGTTCAGAAAAGTCCCTCCGGGGGCAAGGGAGAACTTCTTGATCCCCCATCTTCCATTACTTCTGCAGATACCTAAGTAGAAGTAGTGCCACTATTCAAAGCTATGCACCCAAATAGGTTTATGATTTTTTGACGAGCAGAAAATAGCTAAGCAAGTCTGTTTCTCCCGCGCCTCAATCATGTAGGAAGATTACTTTTTATATTTCTGCCTACTCATAAGTAACTTGTAGCTAGGTGATTTCTGAACCAACTGCAGTACTCTGCAAACGCACATCTACTTAGGTACTAACAACTCGTTGTGCACGGTATTCGACCTGTGCTCCGTTACTTGGTATACCAGAAATTTACATCATCGTCATCATCATCATCATCATTGACAGCAATACCAGAGGAGAAAATTGGTGCTTGACAGCCACACAACAGTATCAATTTATTTGCAATGGAAAGAAAAAGGGATAGGGATATGGACATAGAGCAAGTCTACCACAAACATCAAAGGTGCCTTACAGTGAACGTATTCTATGCCAAATATCAGTGGTATTTCCCGAGAAACCATGGTGAATGGTTCCGAGTTTTACGATTAACCGTGTATGACTTGCGAATAATACTAGCATACCTACCTCAACATCTTGGTAACCATCGCCTATCCTGACTGCTTTCTCCAGAAAATAGCGACCTGAGGTAAGTTATCATCCGGTGTTTGCTCCGGCTCCGGTGTGGATCCATAGGTTTTCATTCCAAAACTCATCCCTTGTCAAAGCGCAGTACATTTCTTGAGGGAGTGTGTTGCCTGTAATTTCGCCGTTATACGTGTATCTAACCGAGTCATCTATTATGGTCTGTCTCCCCCCCCCTCAAAAACGTTCCTCCTTAAAAGGTTCCATTGAGTTGCTAATAATTAGCTCTTGAATCAGTAAAGCTGCCACGATATTTTCAAATAGACTCAAGGGGCATACGAATGGTCGACTGGGTCTCATTATTTGCAGGTGACGGGTTGCATGAGACCGGTGATCCTCAGAACCGTGGACGAACCGATTACCCTTCGAGTCTGTGTACCCTGCTTGTCTTTTGAGTGTTAACCCAAGGCCTTATGACGTAAATACCAACTGATCCGGACAATTTTGCGCGTTGTCTAGGGTCAATCGAATTCCTCGACTGGGCGACATTTTATGATTTCCCTTTTTCACTATTGGACTTTTTAAATAACCTGACATGACTACGTGCTGGTTCCAGCCTTTATCGCATCTTTACTGATTTTACTTGGAACCCATATAATGATTCCCCCTTCAACATGAAGGGAAATGTGTAGATCCTGATTGGCAANGATTTTACTTGGAACCCATATAATGTTTCCCCCTTCAACATGTAGGGAAATGTGTATATCCTGATTAGCAAGACGGCCATCTTCTGTATGTGGATGAACAGACCCGTGGTTGTATCTTATAGGATTTCATGTGGTTTCCTGATACTCTTGTACCGGTGATTTTTAAGACGTCACGAAGTGTCAAACAGCCCATCATCAGGTTGGACTTTCTAACGCAATTGCAAGGTACCTGTGTATCTTTGTACGTCGTATTCTGCTTTACATCTGGCAAGACAGCATGATGCACGACAAACTTCCGCTGAGCACGCTCTAAAATTTCGTCACCCTATTAAAGCGCAACCGAGATTTTGTTCGTGGCAATCTCACAACGCCAAGACACTGACGAAAACAGTCGCATTAGTTAACACTCCCTTTCGTATTTCCAAACCCATATGAAGATCAAATGATAATGTATACTGTTATTTCGTCAAGTGCATTTTACACGTGATAGGTACTCATCATCATTATCAGCTTTAAGAACCGTGCACGTGTCGTACAGTGGTCGCAGCTTTCACAGTTTTGTCCACCGATGATTTGGGGAGGTGGGGTAGGTAGTTGCGCATTGGAGGCGGGAGCTGATAAATTGTGCTTAAATACAGGACTGTCAGTAGGCTGTTGAGTGGGAAAATAGGAAAGGGAGCTATGCATTGAAGGTAATAGCCTGGATGCACGAGCGCAATTGAGGGCGTAACTGGGCCATGTTTGGCAATGTCTCTAACCATTGATGTGGCCCGTCTCTGGGTCTCCATCCAGAAAGACGGCAATGACCAGTGTAGCTGAGTTCGCTGGTAATGGCTCCTGCACTTCGCTGCCAAGTCATTGACCTCCTCTGGCTCATTTCCACCCTTCGCGTAGTTCTGCAGAAATAACCTCTGGAGGGAGTCAGTCGACCGGCATACGGAGCACGTGGCCAAGCCAGTGCAACCTATTCAGTGTGATCAGTCCATCTAGCGGGGGTGAGTTATTTCTTCCGGATACTATTCGACTTACTTCAGCATTGCTGATCCGGTGTTCCCACCAGACTCGAGCAATGCTCCGAAGACATCGAAGGTCAAGCACTGAAAGTCTTTTGACGTCATCGGCGCGCAACGGCTAGTTTTCTGATCCAAACAGTAATATGGAGCGCACCGCAGCATTTTAATTCGACCCTTGAGTTATTTCTTCCGGATACTATTCGACTTACTTCAGCATTGCTGATCCGGTGTTCCCACCAGACTCGAGCAATGCTCCGAAGACATCGAAGGTCAAGCACTGAAAGTCTTTTGACGTCATCGGCGCGCAACGGCTAGTTTTCTGATCCAAACAGTAATATGGAGCGCACCGCAGCATTTTAAATTCGACCCTTGACGGTTAAGGTGGTGTCACGCCTACGCCACATGTGATTGGTAAAGATGCCACAAGTAAAGCGGGGCGACCATTTGATGTTTTTTTCACCCATCATGAGATTTATTCTAACTTGGCGCTAACTTCGGCTCTGTCCTGACCAAAACTTCTGTATTACGGTGAAGTGTCCAAACTCCAGCAATAAATACCGGTTGTTTGCCAAACCTCTCTGAATCGAAGCAATTCCTTTAAAAAGGGACCTAACCAATACAAAACTTTCAAAACACTAACCAAAATTTGTTCCTCATCCAGTGAGAGCAATCTCTCTACAGAGAAAAGCCACCGTTTCTCCGTTTCCTTCCACTAGGCCCAACTATTGAACTGGATACTATCGATTTGTCTCTCACTTTCAAACCTTCAGAATAAGACTGCCCTGACCGAGTGCATCGTCACTCTTCACGGAGAGAATTCCAAGTTGTCTTGTCTATGGTGATTTGAGAGTTGGTGGTGACCGATTCGGTTTCGAAGGGTTTCACTTGTTCAAACTTACATATAGACTTTCTGTTTGCTGGTCGACCACCGGATGATTTCACCAGTGAATTTCACTGGTCCTAATGTCCTCTGTCATAGGAACTGTTAGCAGCACACAGGATTTAAAACACCTCGTTCTGTAGCGGCATCACCATTTGTCACTTGAACAATTTACGTGAACTCTCCTACTCTTCCGGTCGCCGTTTGATTGTTCGTGGCAATGCCTTCCGGCTTTATTTTACGCGTACTGGCTGATTGGTAGAGGCTTATTAAACTTGTGTTTGGTTCACGCGCATCCAAACTAAAGTCTTGTTGTAACCAGTTATCTTCCGCTTTTCAATGCACGTATAACCTGCTGGGTTCGTCATTATCCCTCCATTTCAAACTATTCCCCGAATGAGCGTGTGGTTGCATTCGCTTTCCGTCTTACACCACATCAGTTCCTTCTCTTCATCCACTCTTGTTCATCAAGATCCCGAGTTTTTTTTAATCTGTGTATCTTCATCCAAGTATGTTCTTTTGTTGTTCTCCAGTCGTGTGGTCTGTTTCGTGCATAACACTACTGCCCCCCATTTTATTTTTCAGGGTATTTGCCGATGGGCAAGTCAGCTTGTCTCGTATTGTGGTCCTCTTTATGTTTGCTGTCAAAGTGATATTGAATGCGTTTGCTCGTAACCTCAGTGCGCTGGCCTGTGATGTGATCCGGTTCGCGACAAAATTTATCGTGTTGCATGGTGTCTATAATTGGATTCAGGCTCGAGGTGGTTGGGTGAGTTCTACTGTAAGGGAAACGCTCCCTTACCTTTCGCACTTTCGCCCCATGTCTTATTTTTTAACGATCTAACCCTCCCTGGAAGACATGTGTACATCTAGGTTTGTTTTGATGTGGTCCCTGTCATGGAAACTAGGAGCTACACCTGAAGACACTGACCCTTCTTCAGAATGCGTGCAAGGATTGAAAACTTATATCTAATACGTGAGGGTATCACTCATTTTTGGCTTGAGCAATACAGTTGACTTCCAAAAGACTTTCTAGAGATTTTTACACAACTCTAAGCCCCTATCATTACAACCGATTACTGACCGAGTTGCGTACTTGTCGTTGGTGCCATAGTACTGAAAAATGTGCCGTCGTTCTGAGAAGTTGTCAAACGCGTTTTATTGCCTTCGATGGCTCTCAAAATGGCATTGTTTATATTGGTTGCGCCGGTCAGTTGGCTACTCTTTATACCGTTTCACATTTGCTTCTTCGACATTGTCATCCAGCGAATGAAATCACGCACCAAAATGCTTGGGTTAATACCGCCATTAACACCTTGTCATTAATGGGAGGTTCCCGGTGTCACTTGTGTGGTGCTGTATTGGGGGAGGTGCGGTATTGCGCTGAAACTTAAAGGAACTGATGGATGACTCTGGTACTCCGTTGATAAATCGGTAACTGATGCCGATATCCATTGTCATGCCGAAAAACGCGTATGTACAGCTGAACCAACATCCAACACGAATGAGTCTTCTAGCCAAGCGACTGAAGTCAATCCTAAAGCATCAGTGGTTCGGATTGACAAGTAATCCCGCCCGGCACCATTGCACAGGCCACACCGAAAAGCACAAACTACCACCTTCCCGAACAGAGATATAACAGGTATTGCTAGTGTCATCCACAACTAGTTGTGATAATGAATCACTACAAGAAAGGCGTGTGCGATCTTTCAAATTAACTGTTTGGAGCGTCGAAGCACTCACTTGATGTGCATTTCTCAGTACAGCAAAGTTTCTCATAACCTCTCATATATATCCCCAGAAAAAAAAAGAAAAAGGACTTTGCGCCATCTCATATTAACGTTTATATTACTATATGTTGTAATTGTTTTTTTAGTGTGTACATTTTCCCTCCTACTTCCTGGGTAGATCGACTGAAAGTGGTATCTTCATTAGACGGGGCCTATCGTAATCTTCAATCTGGCTGCGTATGCCTACGTAAGCTTAGGTGCTTGTTAAATCTACTACCGTAATTCAACAGTAGAATTGGCTCGCCCTGCCAACGGTGTGATAGTTTCAAAAACTAGTTTCATCCCTTAATTTCACCGGCGGAGTGGTCTTTTTTGGATTACGCTTGGGTTCTAACGCGTTAACCCTTATCTAATTTGACCGTCCAGTTAGGTCAAAGTGGATCCTTTTTCCTAGTCTATCCGTTCTCTGACGAAATAAATCTTTATCTGGTCGTTAGCACGCGATGCTGTAATACGACTTGTTTCGCCACGCAGTTGTTCCTTAAACTAACTTACACGAGTGTGAGCTCCACTCACATGTGCCGAGATAACCATGGTGTCGCTCTAACTCGTCTACCTTTTCAAATTTTGCAGTTTGCTGTTATTCAAGCGTGCGGACCGGGTACCAGTACTACTGGTGGAGTTCTTGCATTCCTCAGCGTGCTCCTGGTTGTTCTATTCGCACTCAAGCGGGTGGCTTGAACGGACTGTTCACTCTCAGATCCATTCTCATGCTGTGATACTAGCTGTATCAGAATATACGCTCATTTTTAGCTCCTTGATGCGCGCCCAAAGCTTATTCGCACTATTTCCTTTTATCTTGCTCCGGTGTTCATGTCCAGTCTATCAGGATGCGAATGCTCATCCAAACGCTCATGCTGTCTGTCACGGATGGGAGACCATGACACGTTTGCGTACTCATTGATGCTACATATCCAACTTTCATTCATAAATTCAGGTTGCTCAATCTCTGTCGCATTACGGCTAATGTCCGTACATTACGCCATCTTCATTACCATTGTTCATGGGTCCTGATTCGCCTCATCGCTGTCCGCCTTACCTATGTTTTTTTCATCTCCTCGTCCGAAAGTGTTTTGTGATTTCCGCGGTTGTCAATATGTAACCTTTTTATGTCTTATCTGTGTGAAGCATTAAATGTTATTTTGATAGGTGCCCATGTTTCGCCTTATCATGACAAGATTTTTTGAAGTGGTAAACCAACTGGGCTTTTCGTTTCTTACAGATTGGACTGAAATGGTAATTGAATGCAAATATTACTTATTTGACGTTTGATCTGATCATGTTGTTAGTGGCACAACCACTAATCCATCGCTACGCTCCCCAATAGCGCACTGATGATATCACCTCGATTGGTGATGAAACGTTTGCTGTCAAACTGCCCAGCTCAGCGAACAAGCCAGCGACCAGACGTCAATGTGGTAAGGCCCTAGAAGATTTCTGTCTTTCTTGGCATTTCAGGTCAATTTGGCCGAAGAAAAAATTCTCCCATTTTCGCGCGCTGTTTTTCTTTTTAACCAAACAAACACAGTTTTCTAGTGCATAATTTTTTTGAAATTCTGTCGGCTGGTTCAATGGCTACTGGGAGTCACTTGTTTTGTCGTCATCGTCAACACTGCACAAGATGTGGTCAGCGTAATCACGTTTACTTACTGCTGGACCGAAGGCCGATCGCCTCCCTTACTTCGACTGGTTTTGTACTTTCAATATGATGACAACTAGGAAATGCGTAGGCTCTTTGCGCTATTTTAGAGCGAGGTTGCGCGTAACGAAACCGTCTGAAGTATTTGCCTCGTTTTCTGCTAGTTCTAGTTTACAAGTACCCTCCTGATTAGAATACCAGATGACACGTACGTTTCCATATGTCAGGCCTGGAAAAAGGGATAATCCTACTGCTGTAACGCCTCACAAAAAACGAGGAGAAAGGTGTTTCAAGGAAAACGTTTGTTAATTCTTTCGATATGTTTCTCTCAGACGAGTGAGTAATTCGGTTCAATCTTGACTTTGGAATAAACCCAACGAACTTTGTGTTTACTATTCTGAAAGGACTACTGTATGAGTCACTTGACTTGTAAAATCTCGATCCAGATCTCAAAACAACCTTCCACTGTACATGTGCCTTCGTATCGGAACAAAGCAGTCACAAGTCACTCTGTGCATTCTGTATATTTACACGGCTTTGTACAGAAAACCATTTGGTGCGCTGTGGTGCAAATGTAATTAAATCCACACAGGGAGTCGACGTATCATTCCTGAAGGACTTTTCTGCCATTCGTCTTGGGAGGTACGTTTGTTGTTGTGTGGCTCTGATTTGAATGTACTGTGCGGTTTAAAACAATGGTCTTTAGAGTAGAAAACTATGACCAGTAAACCCGTGTTTCGAAAAACTAGGAGAGGTCCGTGACATGTTCGATCGTTGAGATAGATTGCATGCAACTTCAAGTCGCTGCATGGTGGAGGGTGAACCGAGTCCATTTCGGTTGTGTAACTGGGGTTCGGGCTGTCTGTTGTTGTTGTTGTTTGTAACCTCAAGAAGCCTTTCGATGCTCAAAATCGCGTTGTTTGGGTTTTTGGGACACGAATCCCCCGTTCCGTTCATGTTGGGAAGTGGATCTTGATTCCTAAGCTTCAAGTTAATAGGGTCAGAATTTTGCAATGAATCGTCATCGGGGGACACACCATTCCCCGTGAGATTTTGTACTGACAACAGCCCAGCTTTTTCCGCACAGCCCCCCGGCGTGAAAGAAGTCTGCTGAAACATGCTTGCAAACACTGAACCGAGGATGCTGTAGAAGGTAGGATCGTAAGCGGGAAATGTTGGGTTGCTGGGTGTCGGAGCAAAAGGCGGTGATATCGCGTCCGTGTTTCTAACCTGACCGTACAAGGAACCTGTTTGGTTGAAACCAGTTGGTAGTATAGGATTAGGGAGTGCTCCAGGATTGGAAGCGGCAAACTGATTTACTTTGTTTATTCGGAAATCGCGCTGTTGTAGAAAACTACACCATTCAGGGTTAGGTGAGCTGCAACCGTTTCCCACAGAGTTTCGTGAAGTACGCATTTCTGCTTGCTTGGATACATTTCGGACTGCAGATGAAAGGCTGAATAGTGGAGGCAGTCCTGGAAAATCTTGTGTTGCGGTACAGAAAGACGAATGAACGTTTCCAGATCCAGTTCGGTCAAACAACACGGAGTTTATGTTTCTCCAGAAATCTGGTTTCATGTCTCCATTAGTTGAAGCAAACTTCTGAGGATCAACGTTAGGACTGGAAACAGGACCATGCACTGGAATTTTGTTTCTAGCCTGATTATCTTCAGTACGATCTGCGTTTTTGTATTTGCTTGTTGGTATTTGCAACTGACGTGCTAATAATCTTGCATAGGCATCATTGATGAAAGATAAAAGGTAAGCCGATTCCAAAGGAGCGAAAGGCAATCTGGATTCCGAGCCTGTGCTAAACGATGGTAATGAAGTTTCACTGGAGGCTGGGGACTTTTCGCCTGGTGTTGGTTGCTGTCCGTGTGGGAGGAAATTATGTCCAGCAGGTTCGCTCACTGTGGGACTGTGTAACTGTTGAACATTTGATTTGCCGGTTGGTAATGCGGGGCTGAATGCGGAACCTGGATTTCGAAAACGACCGTTCAGCTGGTCTGTACGAATAACAAAAGGAGGCAACATTGAATATTACGAAAATTTCCGTGAGGATATCTTCATAAAGGCAAACATGAAGTAGCCGAAGCTGGAAAGTGCACTTAGTATACTTTCCATCAAACTGGGCGTTTTCCGGTTGCTGACTAAAATAAGTTGACAAAAAAGGCCACTACCCGCTCTGCAAGCTCTTACCCATGTAGGTCTTTCGAAGACTGAAATTCTACCTTCCGTATTTGCGTCGCATTCAGCAGTTTAGATAAGTACTTCTTCCAACTGTTCTCTTGGATGAATCAGTCTCAAACTGTTTCACAAAACAAGCAATTTTTATTTGATATTACCGGCGTATTTTTAGGACAAGCGGTCTACTTGTGACGTTCAATCATATATTGCAAAACACAGAAGCAAATAAAAAACAAGATGCAGAAGGGCCGACGGAATTGTAGGTTTGTACGGTGAAGAAAAAAATCCATATACACCGCGCCAAAATTACTGGACCCTTACGGTGTTTATTGCGATATCGTTTCTAATAAATGAAATTTTATGTTTCTGTTCAGTAAATGACAAGTTTAACAGTTCACAATTTACGGAAATGTCACATTTATCCACTGGCGTGAGTACACGAGATTTGTCAAAAATGTAGGACCATCCAGTAGTGCTGTCTCATTCAGATTTTGATGGAATTTTCGCACTCAAAATCTTCATTAATCGTTTTCCCGACTGGCATCTACTTGGTCCTTTCCCAGAAAGACCCTAGATTTCGTCTTGCTACCATAGAGTTTACATATATATGCACATTCGATGTGCTGGTCAACCCTGGGTCCCAATCAAGCAGAAAAAAGGAGTATAAGCTGGTCATTCCGGCATCTTCAGGAAGCGGAACAGAAAGTTGTATGATGATGTGAGATTTTGGAACTGATGTGTTACCTTGCCCGAATACCCCACCGGGATATTCAGTCATGAGATCGAGTGACATAATTGTACCAACATCTGGATGTGGGGGATTGGAGTTTCAGTAACCCCATATCAGTGTTCAAGATGGGAAGACAAGTTCAACCAGCGGTATCTGACTGAAACCCTCTTCTTTCTTACAGGTAACACTTTTGTCTAATTTTCTTAAACTCTAATGGATGTTTAGGTTGGCGCTGGCTCCGGGTTTCCTGAGGTTTACTTCAGTATAAGAGGTATCGAACGCAAACCCATGTGTTCCCGTACAATTTTCACTTTTCTCATAGTTCGGAAATGTTTGTGGTGTGGTATATTTAAAACGCCTGGTGGTTTTGCTGACAATAAGTACTGTTTTCTCAAATCTGAGGAGGTTTCATTCGAACTGGATGCACTCTCGGTTTCGGAGATGTGCAAGTTGGCGTTACCATGGGGTTTGTGTGGCTAGAATTTCTATATCGACGCCCCTGGATTATTAAATTTGCGATCCTCATAGAGAGATGGTCTGGATATTTGGATAAATCATTGGTTTCCGCTTATTGTGTCATCTGAAAGCGCCTTTATTTTTGTCGTGGAAAGGCGTCCTAGCTCATCCAACAGCTGGTTCCCATCTGCTAGAGGACTCATGGAGTCCACTGACATCAATGAAGGGCCCAACAGTTTCGTCACTCTTGGCTTATTTATACCAACTGACCAGTGTGATAATTTCTTAAATCATCACTGTGATCCTCAGCTGAATAAGTCATTTACTGGATGGATTTCCCCTTAAATTATCCTTCCGCATAGAGTACAGCACACAGGCTACCTGGAGATTCCGCTGCGAAGACATTCAGTAAAGTTTCTTCTTGACATGAGTAATATCGGGTGGTTGCTCTGTGGACTCTAAGTCATCGTTGCGCACTGCTCATATTGTCCAGAGTAGCTCCATTGAATAACTTCGCGACGAAATCTTGAGGCGTTTTTATGCTGCACATGATGTGGATGAATAGCGATGTTATCGACTGCGAGCAACTTCATCGAGTCTCCAATTTCAGCAGTTTCATCATGCATGTGAGTTCAGAATTAAACACTGAACCAACTTGCTGTTCAAGTTAGGGTTTGAGTTCCCAGCTTCCGCAGATCGCGTCTACCTAATGAGCCACAACCAGGGCAATATCAGTCGATTTCAGCACTCGTCCTATTTATTTACGCTATTCAAGCTCACTCCCTAGTAGGTACGTTTCGATAAGGTGTTTGGGCTAGAAGTTCAGCTATAAAGAATGGATCTAGACCTGAGTCAAATAGGAAAAGACAAAAATTTTGTATGCATGTCATTGCACATACATGTATAGCGGCACTTTTGTGGTCTGTTTTGAATTTTCCCTCCCTCTGTTTGACACATCCTGAAGAAAGTTTATGAATCCACGTTTACTCTTGAATTGGGTGAGCATTCATTAGTGTACAGCATGCTTCGACATCAATAACGTCACCACACTTGTTCACAGCACAATTGCCTCCAAGGTTTAAGCAGGAGACGGAGTGAAAACGTTAATCAAACAGCTCCTTAGGGTCAGCTAAGATTCGTGGTAGTGGCCTCCGATGTTTTTCGCCAATATGAACAGTAAATGGATTATTTCTGGGCAACGTTTCGCTTTTGACACAAAAGCTTCGTCAGGCCAAGTGAGAAAGTAAATAGGTTGATTGGGTTTTAAGGCAGTCAGGGAACCAATCCGTGAGATTCCCTATGACTAGTGAGGTGATCAGTGCTGGGTGTTTGTTGATTAGTGGGGATGACTAGGCTTTACGATTCTCAATTATATACACCACAGCGACTGGTGGTCGAGGCGGTGGAAATCGCCAAGCATCCCAGTGTGAATAGAATAGAGGGAGTAGAACTTGCAAACGTGTGGAGAGTGGTCTTAGATCAGCCGAGATGACACGAAGCGGTGTGCAGTTATCAGCGAAATCGCCTGGGTCTAAGAGTACAAAAATCCAAGTAGCGTTAGATCCAACTAACCACCTCATCCCCATCCCCAAACCAATCGTCCCAGCACCCTTGGACGAACACAGGTGAACGAAATCTGTGAACCACTCCAAGAGGAATTTTCCATTAAGGTGCCCTAGACTAAAGAAGCAGGGACGAAAAAATCCGGTTTCATCATAAGGACGACCCCCCCCCCCTAACCAATCTATCTTAAAGCTTAGTCATTCCCACTAATCGACAAACAGGAACATCAGACTGAACACCCAGCACTGATCACGTCATAAGGAATCTCACGGATTGGTTCCCTGACTGCCTTAAAACCCAATCAACCTATTTACTTACTCACTTAGCCTGACGAAGCTTTTGTGTCAAAAGCGAAACGTTGCCCAGCAATAAATCCACCGATTGTTTACCAAACCCCTCTGAAACGATGACTTCCCAATCGGTCCCAAACATTTTCCAATTGACAGTAAATGGATTAGTTAAGTGGACGAAGTCGGTCTATATATACACCACAATCTCAATGATCGATTACTAATATTCAGTTGAATGGATGTTGCTGGGTCCATGAAACACACTCGGTATCAATTCGTCCTGCCGTCCATAATGCTCGGTGTCATGTGGTGTGAAACAGTAATATTATCGGTAGTAAACCTCAGTGCCTTGTATTCAAACAATATATATGTTTGTGAGGGCCTTATAGTTCCAATGCGGAGTTTCCAAAGCGCTTCCGGTAACACAGATTACGTGATATGAGGATGAATTTTGGAGGGCCACCAGATGGACATTTCTTAGGAGTTTGGATCATTCTGGATACGGCATAATGATGAGACTCAACCGAGTAACCGGAAGAACAGAACAGGGATTTCTTGAGTACACGCTATCAATCAGATTATCATCGGTGGTAGATGGTATTTGTCGGTGGATGGTGTCTGATTGAATACTTAGGTTCTATTTGATGCATCTGCTTTTGAACCGAAGGCATACAGTGTCCTGGAATTTGTTAACGTCAGTTCAGTCGTGGTACGTCACTTTTATGGCCTAAAACATTTTTATCGCATGCTGTATATTACCGTCAACAGGACCTAAGAGGAATTGTAAGCAGACGGTGCTCAGCCCTGATTTTTCTAAACGAAGTATACGAGTGCTTAGAAGACGCTAATTGTACTTGATTTGCATACGTTAAAAACATTCAAAATAATGGGACGATACATGGCACAAACATTAAAAAGCCTATGATCGTGCATCAAAACTTCACACCTCGAATTTTCCACCGAGGGCTAGGGAGAAGGAGAAATAATAAGTAAAAATAAATGCACCTTACAAGAACGTTGAAGAGAACTTCGCCCAGAAATTTTAGCCTAAGGATTACTACTGCCCCATGAGGCTTCCAGGCTAATAAACGTCAGCAAACCGATGTTTCCTAGGGATACCCCTGCAACACTGAGTCCTCCATTGAAGTCCTAACTGTGGATATGATCTGAAGGAGCATGTCATCCCATAACTTGGAGGAACGAAGGGTAGCCCGTTCCTGTTTGGTTTGCGTGGGTGTGAGCACCTAGCACACCACCATATAAGAGTTGGGAAACGGTGTCTTCTTCAAGGTACACCCAGCCACATTCAGCTGGAGGAAGTTGATAGACCGTTGCATTTCAAAATTAAAAAAACTCTACGTACACTGTTTCAGAAAAGGATTGATAAACCAAGTGCGGTATCATTTTCGTTTGTTGCTAATCTATGTGGACAGACAAGATGCCTGAATTCACTCGGTTTACTCCGTGTTTTCCATTCTTCTGTGCTCCCTATTATTACTGTCTGCAAGTGTCTTCTGATTTCTGTTGTTCACTCCAAAACTAATCAAATGACTGGCATCTAAATTGGACTTGTCGGTCAACAGTTGTCAAACCACTGGACCCCATCCCCTTGATAAGAAGCGGCAGGCAGTTTGCGCTAAGCCGAGCAAGGTTTGATAGCTTAATCTGTTGCTTCTAACAATTTAAGACCATTATGGACCAGTTGAGAGGGACACAGATGATCGCACTATCTGGGATGAACTGAATATTCGAAACAAACTCTCACCTTTGGACTCACGAAGGGATTCCCTCGCATTCAACAGACTTCGTCTCAAATTGAGCCTCATGGCGTCTTGCTGAAAAAATGCACTGCGTGACCCAGGTGGTCTTCCAGTGCGTCCGTGATCAATGCTGGAGAAGCCTCTACTTCCGAGACGTCTGCTTTCCTTGTGTAGCTTTACTGAGCGCAAGGTTGCTACAGACAAAAAAACGCATTGTGGCATTTATTCAGTGTGTTGGTTGATAAGTCACATTCCTTTTCTTTCGTTCCGCAACACTCATCGATTTGATAAATGGTTATTCTATATCAGTATTCGGCTTAGAAACGATCAAGAGTAGTTTCATTTGGTTATTTGGTTGAAATGCATTTAAAAATAACCAGCTCGTTATTGGTAATTGTGACTAAATTCATGGGAAATAATGTGTAAACAAGCCGTACAGGAATGAGTGCTTTTATCCCGCGCGATGCACCAACACTTTCGGTATGATCGGAAGCCCGGAGAATCGCAGTAATCTTGTTTATGTGAGTGACAAATGGTCTCATCGGAAATTTACTGGACAGACTGAGTGTGCAACTGCAATAGCCCTAGCGTTTTGAGAATTATATAACCTGATTGCCAGTGGAATCAATCAGAGTTTCCTCTGCGGACAAAACTACAATTAACATAGACAGCGAAAAACCTTTTTTAGTCTTTGTGTGAGTTCATGACACACCCCAAAGTGCAGTTCTGGCATGTGGAAGCACATTAATATATTAAGAAATCGGCAAAAATTAGCTTCAGCACAAGGGATTTCAGTTGCTTTATCGGCGTGCGATTCTGCAAGAGATGCCGCAATTTCAGTACGTAACGTAGTGAGGCCAACTAACGAAAGATTCATTCAAAAGAGCGAAATATTGCATTTGTCGGAAGTTCCAGTGGATGGTTGGTTCTCATCGAGCCAGACCTATTGAGTATAGGTGGGACTCTGGTTAAGCCTCAAAGAGTATCAAATGCATCAGAAATAATTGTTATCTGACTTTAGAGCAAATAAATGGGAGAAAAATCGAGACGTTATCTAATAAAGATTGGTTTGATGTAGAGGATGAAGCATTGCTACCTGATGGGGTCATACCGTTCCCAGTCTAGTTTTCGAGTAGAATTCATTAGAAACCTTGAACAGAGATGGAATTCAAGGAGACCTTCAGGTATTCCAGGACTCTGGAGAGAAGCAGAATTAATTAAGCCAGCTAAAATTTCCAGTCCGTACTGTTTTAACGAGTTTATTCCACGCTGAAGTTAGGAACGGCCATAACATTGCTGTCAACATATAATTGAACGAAGAATGAACCTCATGTATAAAGATACATAATATCAAGTTGGTGTCACCAGAAAAAAACAGTGGTTTATTCGGTCGTAGAAAACAAAACGGATCCTCTACATTCGTCATGTGTGCTCAGTTGGCGAACCAGTTTCTAACTAAGCTGACAAGGCTCTGCTCACTGGTAGATTGTTACAGTGACTATCCCCAACCAAACTTACTGGACACAGCAACCTTCCACTATTGAAACAACAGAATGAACCAAGGGGCAAAAACGTCTACCATTTAACGAGCATTTCTCAAAACACTGAGCTATCCTGTTGCGGTGAACTATTCAAAAATGACACAATTTTTTGTGACAGTACTAAAGCATGGACAACCTCTCACCATAGATTTAGACACACCAGTCCCACACAGATGAACTGAACAACGCAAAAGAACTCTTTCTGTTAATACAAAACGTGGGATAATTGACGTTCTGATAGAGTTACAATACATGGTACCGTCTAACATTTGCGCGTTGCCCACTACTATCGACCTGTAGGTTTAAAACTAACTCCTAGATTGGTAGCATTACTTGAGACGATGTCGTTTGATACCACTGAGGGAAAACAGGTAGCTCGCATTCACTGAAATTAGCTGAACCCAAGGTTACGCGTGACAGCCGGTAACCAAAACCACTGTCCTGAAGTTGAGTTGACAGGCTGATCAAACGCTCCCAACGCTAAAATTCGTGTGGACAAAATTGTCCGACATCCATTTAAATGAAGTAGGAAGTATGTATGATGCATCTGAACAGTGTAAACAAAATTTTCTTGCTGTCACTACGGTGATGCATATTAGTATTTCTTCCCCAAATTCAAGCTATTCCAATGTCATCAATCGAACCAACTGCATGTTCAGTATATCTAGGAACATATTGTTTGGTAAGTTACACTGGAGACACGCTAGTCGCATCTTTCGAGCTGCTTTCATCAATCTTCAGCAAGTCATCATAGAGTTGGAGCCTTACTTCGCAGGTAATTTATTCTGCAGATGGTGAAGAAATTCTGTCATACTGTATGCTAGCTTGTCTGGAGTAAAGGTTACCGGATATATAGCTTCTTTCCACATCAAAATATGTGTGGCTGGCGTTTTAGGCGTTCTGATGTGCTTGATGGCTGGACGGCATTTTCTGCAAGTACTCCAAAAAAACAGCAAGATGTGCAATAGTAATTCCATGGTAGCCGGTCCGCCAATCTGTTACAATGCTTTCCAGTGCTGACTACAACCTTCTTAGAGCGGAACGGAAGCGCATCCGCACTGCAAAACTGGCAGAGGTGACGGTAAAGAAGTGCCGTACGAATCAATGGGAAAACTAACCATTCGTACGAACGGAACAGTCATCCGCTCTGTAGACTTGTCCAATCATGAGCAGACGTGATGCGAGGATTGACTGACTGATTGATTGGTGGACTCAAGGCATGCATGATATGAATTGTTTGGGCGAAAGCTGGGAAAAATGTAGGTCGACTGGTGAAATACTCCCAGCAACTTTATGAGTCATGCTCTTCTTCAAGGGCGCAAGTCACAGTTATCTGGGGTTGATTCTATTCGCTATACATTGACTAGGTGTAACAGGCGATTCAACTGAATATCGTCCGGCTTCCCGGTGCAACTCAGTGCATTACGTACATTTTTGTGTTCAAGCAAAAATACAGTTAGTGGATACCCGTGGATTACGCCCACTTGATGTGTGCCAAGAAGCGCGAAGAGGGCAGCGGTTGGTCGAAAATTCTGTGGTAATTTAGCAAGTAGAGTCGAGAGAAAAGTGCTTCGATATCTTCAATATCATTTCAGGTGAAATAGGAGGTGGACTTTCAGCCGCACATTCAATTATTCAGCACTATAAACGATAGGGATATTTGGTGTTCATTTGGGTCTCCTTTTAATACTATGTTTGTGACACGTGGTTATTGGGTGGTCCCATGATCTTAGTACAGTATCATTCAAGTCATGGAGTGGAAAGAATAGCTGCGATTGCTGCTTCGACAGAAAACGGTGTTCATATATGAGCAACACCAACTAGGCAAGCACACACTGTGAATCGTAGCTGAAGCATAAGGAAATTGCACTTGTTAATCTCTATTACTCATTTTGGCTAAAGCAAGCGCAACCAAGCCGTACTATTTAGGTTCTTACACTTGTCAGTGCAAGTCAACTCTCTGCTGGTAATTTGCTGACGACTTCATGCTCCCAAACCAAGCTGGTGGCTTGGTTTAACCATTGAAGTTTTCACGCAGTCGAAGATAAAACCGGCTTGAGAATCCGTTTTGTATAGTCAGCTGGTACGCACTTGACCTCAACTTAACCTCAATGCTCAACCACTTCATCAAACAAAGTTATCACCTCTTTTAGGTTCACTTAACCATTGAAGTTGTGCGGCGAGATGATCGCTGCTGCACGTTAGGCGTGGTAATTCACACGACCAACTAGGCAGTTCGCTGGCCTTGTTGTTACCGACTCGTACGCATTGTATTACCGGGTATAACTTGGACCAACTCTTCCATACATTAGTGCATGGTTCCTGAGTGAAGTACCCACTTAACTATTGCTTGTATGCACTTACTTCAAGAGTAATCACTTTGCTCTGAACGAATGTGTGAGTGATCAAGAAGATAAAGTGCGGCATTCTTTTGAATTTCTATTCTGTTCATTTACGTTGGCCTCAGCTATGTGGCGGTGTCTGAGAAGAAAACAAGATTCAGTACAACTAGGGGCGTCCGCTGCACGAAGAGTCGTCAGTAGGGACTCCCCACTAAAA